TCTTCTTCTCTTGTACTGCTGCTCTTACTTTTCTTCCTCCTTTTTCTCTCTAATTTTTCAAGTTTACACCTATTTTTGAGGACTGGTTTACATCTGTTATTTACATAAAAATAATATTATTTGCTTTTTAATTAATAATAAATAGTTATTAATAATTATTATTTATTATTAAATAAAACATTATCATTACTATTAAACAAAAAATAATAATTATTAATATTATTAATAAGCAAATTATTAAATACTATTGTTACTAAATAAATATTATTGTTTAACTAAATAATAAATATAATATTTAATTAATAATTATATTTATTATTACTAAATAATATTATCTAAATAAATAATATAATTATTTATCATTAAATATATATTATTTATTATTATTAAATAGATGACGGTAATGAGGGCATTAACATCATTTCATCACCTCTGAATTGGTAGGACACAAGACCAAGTCTTACCATTTGGGACGTCTTTTCTCTTATTAGACCTTGGAAGTATACGTGATCTCAACACACCTTACCTCTGAAAAGTGTTATCAAACTTCACCTAAATACGTTTTTCACCCCTAACCTAATGGCAAGGAAATCAAAATGACATCCAATTGGACAATTAACATTTTAGGTCCACACGTGCACACACATACACACAGAGTAGGGAATATAATTATCAAATTATCCCTTCCACAATCTAGAAACTAATTTTCAAAAAAGTTAGGTTGCAAATGAATCAGAACAAATCGGACATAAATTAGATCCAAAAAGATAAAAATATATATTATTAACAAAAGGAATTAAAAATGTCTTTGATATTGTATACCATGAACAAAATATATTGAAGATAAATTTTATGAAACATTGAGCTAATTACTCTTCAGTAAAAACATAACATTGAGAGATTTATCAAAAAAGGGAAAAAAAACTTAACATCCAGATAGAATGTATATATTTCAAGGATTCAACTATGATACGGGAAAAACTTCTGACCAATCTACCAGTATCATAAAAGTGATAACCAATCAGGTGGTATTAATCAAAATTCATGGGGGGTTTGATTGGTCAAAGCCCTTCCAGTATCGCGTCTTCCAGCAGCATAGATTTTCCCTTCTATTTTTTAGAAAAGATTAAGGTAAATCATAAATGTATTCAAAAAGAAGAGAGAGAGAGAGAGAGAGAGAACAAGAATGTACAACAAAAGGCTCATGTAGGGGCCCAAACACACGGGCATACTCCTGAGCCCACCAACACCAAGTGCAATCAATGACAAGCCCAAGGATAAAAAACTGAAGAAAAAAAAGCATTTCCAATCCAGCTCAGATTATGTAAGATCAGATAAGGGTGGATCCATATTCAATCCAATTATAAATGAATCAAATTAAGATTACCCTTAACAGGATTAAATTCAAATTCAGATTAACGGTTACCATTTCTTTTTTTGATGTCAGATTAACAGATACCATTGGCATCCCCTACATGTAGGGCAAGTAAATATCAAAACTATCCTTGACTTTATGGTTAAGAATTTAAGAACTAATGGAACCTTATATTCCAAGAAATAAGAGATAACATAAATATCATCAAGTCATGAATGAAAAATGAAAATGGTTAAGGAGAAGAAGTGGTGTCTACTCACAGCAGTGCATCGTAGGTTAGGAGAGTACTGTAGAAGCCTGGAGACAAGATCAACAGCTTCTGGTGGCATACGTTTATGAAATATCTGAAGAATGAAAATTTAAATATATTTCACGGTCTGAACCAGGTAAAAGAAGATACAAGCACAAAGATGAAGTCCAATTACCTTGTGCCAAGGGTGAGCTTTAATTTGAGGGAATTTAAATTCTGTGTAATTGGGGTTCATGCACTTGATTTCCTCCCTTGTTGGGGTACCCAAAACCTATGTTAAAGAAAACACATTGTTATAAGAAGAAGAAAAATATAAGGGTAATTTATATAGACACCTGGTATAACTTCACATATTTACTAAAGTCTACCTCTAGTTTGTGCATACTAAAACACCCCCCAAATAGTTTGCAACTGCTTTACTTGATTGACCTTCCATCAGGAACCATTTGTATTTCCATCTGGGAATGGTCCCGTGACCTCTTAAAAGGAGGAAAATGTTGGAGGGCATGGATCCAGGGATTTTTATTTTGAAAATACTCCTAGTAGTTCTCACACTAACCTTTTAGGAAACAAAACCCTCGCACCAAATTATAACTTGGTCTGGAGAAGGTATGGAGTGCACGTGACAATGAGAACTGCTAGGGATATTTTCAGAATAAAAACCCTGGACCCATGACGTTTCACATTTTCCTCTTGTTTTAAGAGGTTACATGGCCATTCCTAGAAGGAAATACAAATGGTTCCTGATGGAAGGTCAGTCAAGTGTTTGTAAACCATAGAGGGTGTTTTAGTGATAATGCAAACTAGAGGGTAGGTTTAAGTAAATATGTGAAACTGTAGAGGGTGTCTAAATAAATGACTCATTATGTTGATTAGAATTAGTAGAACATACACCTTACCTTGATTATCTCAACAAGCTGGTCTACTCCACTCTCACCAGGAAAAAGAGGCTGCCAGATATTAAAAAAAAAAAAAAAAAAAAAAAAAAAAAAAGATATCATATATTTCAAAAAAGCAGCATAGAGGCCAGATTCCAAGCTGCAAACATAGGGCATGTACCACATACAATATGTGTACCTGTCCAAGAAGTAACTCAGCCAAAACACAGCCTGCAGACCAAATGTCAATGGCTGTTGTATATTCTGTTGCTCCAAATATAAGCTCAGGTGCTCTATAATACCTAGAGCAAATGTAAGATATGTTTGGTTCACCTTTTACCTGTTAAACCGAAAATTACATGAAAAAAACTAACCAGAAGCTCATAAGGTATAAAAGAAGATAAGGAGAACCCCAAGGTGTAATGACATACCAAGACCTTCGCACTTCCAAAATCACATAGTTTCAACTGATGCGTATGTGGATTGACCTGTAACAAAGAATGGCATTTTAATTACAAGATGTTGAAAATCATATTGACATAAACAGAAAATGACATCAATCTATTAACAATCACAGAAATTAGACATTAAAAGCTTAAACTATTTAAATGTCACCCAAAGGGGACTAGAACCAATTTGTGAAACCTTTAGAAACTCACCCAAGTGATTTTAGCAAAAAAGGGTTGGTTGTTTAGCTTATATGGTTGACAAGCTAAGAGAAAAGCACTAGGTCATGACAGTAAAGACAAAAGCATTGAACCCAGACAAACTCCTATGAAAAAAAACCACAGTTGCTCAGATCAACAAATATGATTCTTCTTTTAGAAGAGATAACAGAGATTTCATTAAATAAAAGAAAAGCAAGATTTGAAGAATTTACAGAGACTTCAAAATTATTGTATATTTGAAAATTGATACCATTAAATCAATGAATGGATAAAAACCATATCAATGTATTTTTCCAATGCAAAAGGGGCAGAAAACGATAGCACAACCATATAAAACAGTAGAAATATAGCTGAAATGTTTCAAAGTGAAATTTTTCCTCCTTCGTTAAAACAGAGCCTAAATTTGAAGTACAACTAGTACGTTCCCTAATTTTACAACCCTAACAAGACAGGAAACATATATTTTAGGAGCATGAGAATTACATCTAAAGTAAATTACCAAATGACATACCAGAAGATTCTGGGGTTTGATGTCCCTATGGCACACTCCAATGCTACCATGAATGTAAGCCAACGCCCTACAAATCTGCCAGACAAGAATATAAGATAAGAAACCCTGAAAATGAAGTTGTTACAATTTACTATCTGTCCAGAAAATAAGCAAGCAAACATTAGCAGCTAATCAATAATACATTTATTACCAAAAAAAAATAAAGCAAAAGAAAAAGATAAATTTTGATCCAGCATACTCTCATAAACAGGAAAACTTAAGTGAGGAATAAAGCAAATGTCATGCAGGGCTCTTTAAAATACAAAGAAAATCAGCAAAACTTACAAAGAAGATTGTACAAAACAAAAGAAGAAAATACTCCTCATCATAGGCCTCCCCAAAGAAAAGTTGGGGTGGGGTGGGAAATATACATAAGGGCCATCACCTAATGCTGGTCCTGGCCATCTAGGGTCTTGAGAGGGACGGACTGGATACAGACCTAACCTTTGGCATATTCTTGCACAAAGGGGCTACTCTCATACTCAAACCTGTGTTCTTATGCCTGTCTGCCCAAGATCTTACCATTGAACCAAGCAATGGCCCCTACTAACTATAACAGGTTGAAATATGGTCTATAACTCAGAGGCAGATAAAACAAGCAAAATTTACCACCAAATAAAATGAGCATAAAACACATCTAAATGTTGGGAAATCCTACACATTACATTGAGTAATAGGCTTTAGCACATACCTGATATGTATAAAGTTTCACATATATAAGCGGCATCCGCTGGTTCATCTTATTGTAGTGTTTGATCACACGATGAACAGTTTCAGGTACATACTCAAGTACCAGGTTAAGATAAAGCTCCTCCTTTTCAGTTGTTGAGAAAAAACAGTGCTTCAAAGAGACAACATTTGGATGGTCTAGAAGGCGCATGGTTTGCAACTCACGATTCTTATATCTCTTGTCTTGAAGAACCTTCTTTATTGCTACAGTTTCTCCTGTCTCTAGGCATTTGGCCTGCACAACCACATCATAGCAGCATTAACAAGTTAAAACATAGAACTGAAAATGGCTCGCAATCTCTCATGCATGTTATGTGGACATACATGATACATACAACACTAACAAATTGACAAACTTACCTGAAAGACAATACCAAATGATCCATTGCCAACAACACGCTCGGCCATATAGCTTATGGTCTGCAATATGTAAAGTTTATTGTAAGATCCTCTGAAATATGACAACCTCAAAAGAAATAATAGAAAAATATACATGTCAAACAAAAATTACTGTACAACAAGATATATAGTAACATATATCTGTCATAATAAATGAAAATTCCGTACATACAACCAAATACAAGCACTGTTTTACATGCTATAGGATCAAAAAAGAGTGATAATAACATCACAAACATACCTGCTTAGGCTGGCCATTTCTACCACCTATGGTTGTCACAATTATATGACCTGTCTCTGTCCCATTTCCATCAACCACAGTTGCTTCCATTTCCTATAGAGAAAAGGAGGAATGAAGAAGAAGAAGAAACTAGAAAAAAGTTTTCTTAATATCTACCTGGGAAAACATGCTCTGAAGAAACAAACCTAACAAAAATAATTGGACAAGTTATAGAAACCAAGCATCATCTACCTTGTCATCTCTAATTTTCATGCCATTCATCTCTTCAGGCAACTTATCAACCCCAACACAATTGCCGCTGGGTTCTTTGACTCCAGAAGCAGGTACTATGCTCACTGAAGCCATTTGCTGAAAGCAGAAAATCGATTAAACCTAGTTCCAGCCCTTTTCTTCACCTCAATAACCAACCTACCTGATCACACAAAAACATTACTTATTTTTCCAAATTCCAACCATATGACAAGCTAAGACAAGGAAGCAGATAAGACAGAAGTCTAGAACTTGTGAAGTGTATGCAACATGAATTAAACAGTGACAGAAAGAACAGCAATCAAGGCCAATACTGAAGACTTTCTTGTAATAGGGATACAGATGAACACCCCAACTAGTGGCAACATATTCTACAGGTGAACGAAATTAAAAAGACTTCTGTGGGAATTGTTCTGAGTGCCTCTATAGAGACCGCAAATGAATCGAGAATATCAAAAATATGCCAATAAAACCAATATCCTTTCTTAAAGACAACTTCAATATATGGTATACATGGTCTGATTGTCAATAAACAAATATTCTTCCCCTAAGTACTTAAATAGACGGTCTCACATGTTCATCCAAGGAATCAGCACCTCAGCCAGCCCCAACTTTGTTAGAGAATGTAAATAGAGACAAATTGTAACAGACTAAATAAACAGATTTATTGGCCCAAATAAATGCAACGTTTCCTCCAAACACCAACATGACACAGCAAAATCTTAAAGATGCTCTATGAATGTTAAAGTGCAAGTTCATGTTCAACCTCAACTTTTGGTGCTCCATGACTTCCTCCTCGTCTTGAGACAATAGAACAAGAAAAATGGGGTTCCTATTCCATAAGTCAGAGGACCCCAAACTCTACGACACTTAGGGAAAGGCACATCTCAAAAAACACAGTACACTGATACAACATCACTGTTCTGATCAAACATGTAAGACTTTGGTTTTAAGTCCCAGTTTTAAACCGTAGAATTGAACTTATTTAGCATTTTTATCATCTGATCTTCAAAATTGAAAAAAGAGAAGTGCGCACACAAAAAACAAGGAAACAATTAAAAGACGGATGGCTTAATTGAAGATTTTCGCAACAAAAAGAAGGAAAGGGACAGATCGCTGAGCAGAAATGCGCACTCAAAATATCTCCCTCAAGCAGATGAAGTGAACCAGAAATTTTCACTTAAGGAAAACAAATAAAAAACCAAGGCAGACAAGAGGACATTTTCTGAACCTAAAAGCCCCCTTTTTTGTAAACTCCTAAAATTCGTTGTTATCCATAATTGCAACCACTAAAATGCATTCATTATGGGATGATAAACACGATCAACGGTAGCCTAACTCCCTAAACAGAGGTCGCGTAAACCCCGCGAAATTAAACCGCATCTACGCTCGAGGAGACAGTTAGCTGGGGAAAAAACGTAAAACCTCAAGCTCAGATCGCAGATTAGCACTCATGACCAGTGACAGAAACTGAATAATCACAGTAAATGTATTCGATCCGAATGCAAGCCCCATGAAGATTAAACCCAGAGCTTGAAAAACCACAAAGTAGCGAAAGAAACACAAATAAGCTAATCCTTCTAAATGAGAAAGATGAACGAACAGAAATATACCGATCGGATCAGGATTTTCCAGAGATAAATCCCGCGTCGATCATGGAAACCAATGGCCCCAACGACTAACATGGTAGAAAGCAAAATGGAGCTCGATCCATCCACTTTGATCTTCAACCTTCCTTCTTTTTGCCTTCTAATTCATGAAACGGAGGAGTAAAGTTTGGCTTTCCTTCTTACTCGGGTGAGTTCGATGACAGTCAAGGAAGAAGGAGAAGCCAAAAGCCCCAACATCTGTGTGTTTTTTTACCTCGTGAAGAGTCTTTCCCTTTTGACCGTTCAAACCTACCTTTAGTCTTCCTGGATTTTACAGACACAGAACTGGCAGTCACCGTATACTGAGTGGGAATTGTGGCAAGAGGTTCAAAGGAAAATTACGATTAGTATTCTATATTTTGGGTCTAATCTCATTTGACCAACAAACTTTAAAACGTGTTAATTCAGTAATTAAATTGTATCAATTTAATACCCATCGTTAACCAATCCTAAATTGCAAATGAAAAAATACAAATGTTTTAGGTATCGGTTATTGGGTCAACGGTTCAATTGTTTGGTTTGAATAAATAGTTCATTTTGATAAAAAAAATTATTAAAAATATTGATGGGTCAAATGGATTGATAATTCAACCGCCCAGGTCAATGAGTCATTGACCGATTCAACGGTTTTTTACTAGAAACCATGTTTAAGATAAAAATTCAAGGTTTAAAGTATCGATACGATACACATATCAGCAGTATCGTGTTGGTACTTAGAAACGGCCGAAACTATATTTTCTTTTAGTTTTTTTTTCAAATTTTGATTTTTTGAAAAGCTAAAAACATGTTTTTTATTATTAAAAAAAAGTTAGGGTTCCAAAACACCTGAAAACAGGCATTTCGAAGCGTATCTTTTTCAAAAGATATAATACAATATGCCCGATATGGGGCATATCGTATCAATACTTTAAACCATGAATAAAATAGAACCAAGTGTCTAAACGGTTCCCAGGCCAAACGGCCCAACCGTCTGGATTAACGGTGGTTCGAAAATCATGGCTGCAGGTTTCTCCGTCAATGATTTCTCAGGTAAAGTACTTCAATTCTTCTGCATTTGCTGGCAACCCTGACTCTGTGGCTCTCTCCTCAACAATCCGTGTAATTATACTACAATTATCTTTGCTCTTGTGCTTCTATATGCTCCCTGGTGTTTGCCACCGCAGCGATTATCAAGGCCAAATCATTCAAGAGACTCAGTTCACATACATGACTGCATTCCAGAAACTGGAATTCATAACATGGTCTTTGATGTGCTAGAATGCATGAAAGACAACAATGTGTAGGATGGGGAGGAGCTCGGATTGTATATCTAGATAAGATGCTAAACGGAGAGGAAATTGTAGTGAAGAAACCGCTAGGACTGGGCAATGCCAACCATGATCATGGATTCAGGGCTGAAATTCAAACACTAGGCAATATTCGACACAGAAACATAGTGAGATTGTTAGCTTTCTGTTCGAATTCAGAGACCAACTTATTGGTGAACACACGAGAAATATTACCAAAAAAGAATACACGAGGAATGAAAGCTTGGGAGAGGCTCTTCATCGGAAGAGAGGAGGCTTCTTGGGTACAAGATAGCCATTGAAGCTGCCAAGGGTCTGTGCTATCTACACCATCACTGTTCTCCTCTTATACTTCATAGTCTCGTAGAGATGTCAAGTCTAACAACATTATTTTGATTTCGAGCTTTGAAGCCCATGTTGCTGATTTTGGTTTGGCTAAGTTCTTGGTTGACGGTGGTACATCCAAATGCATGTCAGCAATTGCAGGCTCTTACGGCTGCATTGCTCCTGGTTTCATGGGTCTAGATCTTCTACAAGTCCAAATATGAGTCTATTTGGAATAGGGAAAATCTATGATGTGGGAAAGACATGGTATAGGAAGAGTTTTGATCAATCAAAATCCATCTATGAATTTTGATAAATAACAACTGAGTGATTACCATGTTTATGATTCTAGTTCATTGGTGAAACGTTTTTCCCATATCATAGTCGAACCTTTTGGTTCAATACGGAAGGAGTGCAAATGCAAATATGTACAGTAATACGTATAAAATAACACAAAATACAAGGTTTTGTGCTCTACGTATTTGTATTTGTACTCCTTTCAAATGAAATCTTTGGAATAAATTTCGCAAAGCAAGATCTAACAAGCCAAGGTTTTCTTTCGGTTAAACAAACTCAACCCAACCAAAAGTTCAGATTTATCATCTTCCACCCCAAAGCCAGTTCAACTGAATCGGTTTGTTTTATGTTGGGGTTGGAAACCTCAAAAACATTAATGGTCTAGAACCAGGGGCTTTGATGGCACAAACCTTATATCATGCACGGTGTTTGTTTAATGCAAGCATTGCCGAAAACTCAATATCCAAAACTTACATCTCTGTTTCATCTTCTTAAAGAAGAAGATGATGACCGGTGTTCTATTTGAAAAGGTCATTTTGTTATTTTCAAAAATTTTAAGTCGCACATGATGTCATGTGATAAATATAACTGACGACTGGTTAACTGTAAATATTAAATTGGCACGTTTTAGAAGTTTAGATACTGGATTGGCACGTTTTGAAGTTTGGAGCAAAGTTCAAAGTATTAATACATATCGTATCGAAGCATTCTCAATACACCCCTATAGGGGGTGTTTCGGGTCGGCAAGTGATTCAGGGGGTAGACCAACCTTAAATCAGCCCCTCTGAACCAAATTCAAAAAACAGAATACCCATAGGCCAGATACTAGCGTACCACCTGTATTGATACTTTTAACCTTGGTTGGAGACCAAAGTGAGACTAAGTCCAAAGTACAGGGTACTAATGTGCAATTTTCCCAAAAAAAAAATTAAATTCTAATGTACAATTTTCCCAAAAAAACGTTAAATACTTAAATGTCCATGTGGTTTAGCAAATGGGCAAAAACGTACCTACTGTTTAAAAAATTACTTAAAAGTATTCCTTCAGTTTGTACGTTTTAGGGCATTAGACATCATCCGTTGAAGGAAAAAAATAATAAAAAAAACAAAATGTTAAATTTGCCCTTCGTTATTTCTCAAATTTTCACAATAAAATCCAAGTGATAAAATTTTTTTCATTGACTCTAATTTGTTGGCATTGTCATCACTATTCAAGCATGGACCACCGGCAAATTAAAACTCAAAATCCAACACAGTCGAAGATGTGATAATAATTATAAAAAACTCAAAGCTCAACATCAACTCTGCAAAGAAAAATTGAAAAAAAAAATGTTATTCTAAATTTCAGACCCGACTGCAACGCCATGATGAGCAGCAATTGTTTTCCATGCGAATTATGAACCGTCGAATTTGCGGATGCATGGCTCTGGGCATTTGCCAAGTCCAGGGCTGGGAATTCCGGTTCTCTTAAGTCTCAACTTCATTCTTGCACCATAAAGGAAGCCGGTGGTAAGAGAAGCGAGTGTACAGAATGCTCTCCAATCAATCGCCTGTTGGACCACCTCCTTGGTCAAAAACTATTTTGGATTACCCTCCAATCAATCGCCTACAAATAAAGACACTCCAATCAATGCGAGTGTACAGAATGCTCTCAAAACACACGTCATAGTTGTTCTAATAGCCAGTGTTACATTTGCTGCCGGCGTTAACCCTCTCGGCGATGTTCACCAAGATGGACCATTTGCTGGACCACCCATTTCAAGGTCTTCATGATTAGCAATAACATGGCACTTTTCCCGTCACTTGGCGTCGTCGTTATCTTGGTCAGCATCATCTCTCGTTAGTTTATACCTCCTTAGAGTCAACAAAGTACAACAATCACTGTTGGGATGACCATTGCCGAGAGATATCAATTTCCGAATTGAATCTGCACTCCACAACGGAATACCCGGATTGACTGTCAATACCTAGTTCTAATAAAATAGAACAAGAACTTCAGTTTATGCTGAGAGAAATATACAGCAGATGATGATTGGAGGGGGATTTACAAAGGTTGAGAGAAAAATGGTGCGTAGCATCACAAAGGGAAGATATCATCATCAAAAACCCCAAATGAAGGGGTTAGACCAAAAGAGGTGGTCGATCTCAAAGAGGGCCAAAAAAATACCAGGAAAAAAGAAAACCACCCAGGGAGAACATAGCCCCCAAATAGGCCTCACTCTCGACCCCACTTTTGGCCATAAGGGTCTTCCAAAGAAATAAACAATCTTGGATGCCATCAGAATTCTGGAGGGCAAGGATCTAATTCACATTTTTTTCTTTTCCCTCTCTTCAGAGCAGTTTCTCAAGATGCATGGAACAATTGTAATCAAAATATCCTTCACCAAGCAGGCTTAGTTACTTTAGCAACCTACAGGATCCTGTGCTCATATTCCATGTCCAATCAATCAGATTTGACCAATTCCATTGCCACCATCATGTTTCTCAGGAAACATTAAAAATATATAACCATAAAAAAACAGCGTGTTTTGCTAGGTTGGACCAAACCAAATGGAGTCCAACTTAAATCACAAAGAAAAAATTATTCTCTTGGTCACTACACCTCACCTTCTCGATACAATGAAAGAAATAATCCATCAGGTGAAATGACAACAGGCCCATTTGGTAAAGCTTTTCCATCCTGGCAGCATGAAACATGTAACCAAATTGCAGAAGAAATAAATGCTACAACAGTTTTAGTACGATAGGGGCCATTTCTTGGTTTAACGGTAAAATCTCGACTGATAAGCCTGAGAACCCAGGTTAAGTCTCAGAACAGCCACTTTGTGCATAAAAATTCCAAAGGATGGGTCTCTGTCCAATCCATCTCTCCCAAGACCCTATATAGCTGGGACCAACCTTTTTTTTTTTTTGATAGATATAGCTGGGACCAACCTTTTTTTTTTTTTGATA